GAAAAACCCCGGTCCATCTACACTGTAACATTTTTTTTTTAATATAAATCTGTAGAGTTTATTTGTTAGAACGTGTTATTCTCCAAAACTACTGGTTCGAATTGAATAATTTGTTTTGGGTAGTTCATTTATCGAGGTAGGCTATAAAATGATTCAGTCTATAGTAGTCGAGCAGTGAGTGAAACTGCGCGAGCGTAGCTATTTGCAAATAATGCGGGCAAAGACGCCAAACAAACATAAGTTCAAGAAACAAAAGCAGTGAATAACAATACTAAGATAAATCATCTAAGTACGTATGTATTTACATGTATTTCAATGAAACCATTGAATTAATAATTGAATTAATAATTGATCGTTTTGTTTTTGTTTTCTATATTATTACCCTGCATTCTTATATTGTTATTTGTGGATATTAAGTGATTCTGACTTGACTTGTACATTTTGAATTATATTATTTATTAATGTACCTATTTTTTAATTTTTAATTAATAATTTAATTGTTATTATCTTATTACTTTATTATTGTATTATTTAATTATTATTGTTATCATTGTTGTCATTGTTGTGTAATTGATTTATTAATATTGTATTATGATTTATGATTGCCACAATTTCTGTACTAGCGGTGTTAACCTATAATTAATTGTTACACAAGTGTAGGATCAAATATTATTTGTAAGATAATGTTAAGGTGTAAACAGTTGTTGGTTAACCTCAAAAAAAAAAAAAAAAAAAAAAAAAAAAAAAAAAAACCATCAAGTATGGGAGAGCCATGCTTCGGCACGAATAGGTCGGCTCGACCGGAGTGATACCACGGCCTCCGGCGTGAAACAAGTATAGCGTTGTGTTTCGCCATGTGAGTGAGGTTACCGGAGGCCCAATCCCTTCCCCACCCCATCCCTTCCCAATCCTTATCTGAAACCCTTATCCCTAAAAAGTCGGCAACGCACTCGTCACTACTTTGGTGTTACGGGTGTCCATTGCAGGACTAATTGCTTACCATCAGGTAATCCGTATGCCGTTTGCCAACCTATACCATAAAAAAATACAAAATCTGCTAACTTTTTCACATAAAAAAATATAAACTACCAATAAGTACAAACAACATACAAAAGAGAAAAATATAGGTATCTATTTAACTCTCTGGGGTAAAAACTGGGATTTCACTTTTCTCTGGAAAAAAAAGGTGGGATTAGTCCTCATATAAAAATATCTAAGTGAGTGATATATTAGAAGTATCGAAATTCGGAAAACGTATGCCGAACATCATTCATTTCCCTTGGGTACGATTAAGAAGGGATCCGATGAATATTCGTTCATATACGCTCCGCCACTCGGGATAGGAAACGTATAAAAACGTTAATTACTTAAATATTTGATGTGTTACAAAGATTTTTTCATTTATAGCGTAAGCAGGTATGTACCTACTTAGTTATTAGCATTCTGTCCTCAGGAAAGCGATCAGTGGTGGTTTGTAAGAAAGTGGTTTGTGTTTGAAAGATAGGAACTGGGAACAACCTTCCTCACGACCCACCTGCCGCCAGAGTTGGGCTCCGAGCGTAGGTAAACGCGTAACCTCCGGCTACCGTAAGTGCGTGTCTCCAGACTATGAGTAATAGTAGCCGCTCCACCAAGACCAGACCCGAGCGGGTACGATGTAATTGTTCGATGTAATATGCCCAACCACATTATAATGTCGTCAATTTACTTGGAACATTCCATCCCATAATAATTCAAGAATTTCATGAAGTGAGCAAAACATCAAGGCCAGGACACGACATAGTACTAGAACTATAGAAATGGAATTAAACTTAAATGTTACGTAAGAATACTTATATCTATTAAAAATTCTATCAAATATTGTTAACTTACAAATCTCCGCTCTATATCCTCATGAGACCGGAAACATGTGTACCTACCGAATGTGTGTGACCTACCGAATAACCTTGAAAAAGGTCTCGAAAGTAATAAAAAAACCAATCCAATTTCGCATAATTTTTGATATCCTCGTAATAAGGAGGCTTTATGCTGACGAGCGATCGTTAATGAAAATTAAAAGCAATAAACATTATTAAAGCAAACAACGTTTAGTTGTACCAAACGTTATGGCTTCGCACAATAGTGCAAATTTTCCTTACCTAGGTTAATGCGATCGAAACGTCACTGCGTTTAGCTCTCTGATTGGTTGGTCAACTTGGGAGTCTTGGGACACGCCAATCAGATTGCCGAACGTCTTAAACGTGTCGATCGGATCCCCTAAAAACACGTTAAAAACGTGTTGATTACGGCATGTGGCACAGCTCTATGAAGGCAGTCTCGGCCTGGAGCACGAGATGGGACGGAGTAGTTTTAACACTTCCTCTCGCCCCGCCCAGGGCACGACAAGTATTACCTATACAGAAAAATTGGGTAGATATGTACAGGTTTTTTTATGTAATAGATTGGCAAACGAGCAGACGGATTACCTGATGGTAAGCAATCAGCGCCGCCTATAGACACCCGCAACGGAGGAGTTACGAGTGCGTTGCCGATCTTTTAGGGATTAGGGATTGAGGAGGGATTGGGGGAGGGGAAGGATTGGGCCTCCGGTAAACTTACTTACACAGCGAAACACAACGCCGTGGTTGTTTCACGCCGGTTTTCTGTGAGGCCGTGGTATCACTCCGGTCGAGCCGACACGACGCACACTTGTTCACACAGATACCTTTATATCGAGGCCCACCTCCATTTACCTACAAGGTCTATTATTTTTCTTTTTTTATGGCATAGGTCGCCAAACGAGCAGCATATTATGTAGGTATCTGATAACAGATTATCTACTCAATGCTCATCTCTCTCATCTCATGGTTCTAAGTTCCGAAGTCAACAGTCGCTGCTAACTTCAAACAATGTGGTCCATTTTGCCTAGACTACACATTATAGTGAAGTATAACAACGTACGTACATATGTACCTACACAATAATAATTGTTTTTTACAAAGACAGAAACAATACTATATATTACTACACAACAATCCGATCAAAAAATAATGTCCACTAGTATAAAAATGGTTGTACCTAAGTTTTTCATTTATAACTTTGGTAATTAACCATACTGATTTGATTTCTATCATTATTTTTATTGAATTAGAATTAATGTAAACTTTTTGTAATTAGGGATGAGTAAGAGAATTATAAACGTAAGAGTAAGTAAACAAATATGTAATAGGTCTTTACCTATGAAATTGCCGTTTTGCATGAAAAAATTTAAACGAATTTTTTGATTTGAAATGCGATGAAAATGTAACACTAATCAATAATCAAATGACTACTTTTGGAAAAAGAATCCCATGTTTTTAAAACAAAATTAATCAGCCTTAGCCTAACAAAAACTATTTTGATTTAAAAAGGCCAGTACTGCAGAACGGCAATTGCATAGGCAAAAACCTTTTATAATTGGAATGCTCCGAAACGCTTTGCTATCAGGAGTTAGGTACCTACGTGTTATTATGAATCAACCATAAACGATAGACATATGCTGGCGTGGAATATTTTTTAGATAATTTTAAGTAGGACACGCCCGTGATACATGATTTCATTAAGGAAGCACACGCGACGGAGCTTTAAAAAAAATGGAGTAGGTAACTTCTATCGTTTTCTCAAAGTTTACCTTCACTGCTCTGCTCCTATTAATTGTAGCGTGATAAAAAGTATACTATACTATAACCCGCACAGGAATATGAAGAATAATACCTAATTGTACTAAGTTTCGTTAAAATTTGTTGAGTAGTTTTTGTTTCTATTAGGAACATACAGGCAGATAGACAACAATTTTACAGATAGCATTTGAAGCTTAATAAAGATCACTAATCAACCCCTGATAGTTATTTTTATAAAATATATATGAATGAATTGTATTGTACCTACATATATGAATAAATTGTCGACTTTTGACGTCGCCAGGGCACGCACGCTGCTCATGAATAAGAGTTCCGCTGTCATTTGAAACTAGTAGAGCTTTTCTCTGTTGATTCACTTAAGTCGTGACCTTCTCAATTTTTTTTAAACATTGCCCCCGCTTGTCCTTCTTTATTATTCTTATACTGTCCTTCTTTATTATTGTTATTTCTCCAGTGTCGTGGGTGCGTTTACAAACATACAATTATGCACATCACACCCAGACCCAGAACAGCAATTTGTGGATCACACAGAGTTGTTCCGTGCGGCAGCCAGTTGGCCAGCCAACACGCCAACCGTGCAGTCAAAATAATAATCCAATGTCGTTGAACGCTCTTGGCACCAACGTTTTTAAGTCTAATGTAAGAAATCCAATCACAATCTAAAGTTTGGATTAAGACTGGTCAGCCATTTTGATTTGTGGTAACCTTCTTATAAAAAAATTGTGGATACTTATTGGAGAAGGTATTTGAACAAAACAGTTAATTATCGAACAATACGTAGATGTTTTAAGTTTTGTAAAATTGACTGCTAACTTCCATTGGAACTTATTATTGATTACAAATCCTTGAAAAGCAATTATAGGTGTTCTTAATGTAAGCAATCAAAAAGAAAAGCAAAGCAAATCAATTTTTTTTTTAATAATTGCTATTTTTATGACTTTCAAAGTCAAAGTCAAGTAAAGGTTAAATAGCATGTGTGTATTAAAGAAATTAATGCCATTGAGATATTGAATTTTGTTTCTAACTATTTATATACATACTAATAAAATTATGAAGATATTTTCATTATCATTATCAGATTTTAATTTTTGTGCTGGCTAAGTAAATATTAATTTTAGACAGAACTTTTTGCATTGCTGGGATTACTTTAATATAAAATCAGATACGACTCCCACTGCATTAAGGTATGAAAAAAATAAAAGAAAGATTAAATTGAAAATAAAATATTACTATAAAATACAATTTACTATGATAACAATGAGTCAATTATCACAAAGAGTTTCAACACTGAATGCACCAACATTAGATATCTGTTGCTGATACTTCCTATCAGTGTCTGGTTTAAGCAGTTGCTGGGTTGAGGGGTGGGACTACTCCTGTGGGCACAGTAGCACCAGCTGCACATTGCTGCTCCATATCATGAGATGGTGGGTGCTCCAGAACATTGTCAATAAGACCAAAACTCTTTGCCTCAGTCGGTGACATGAAGTGATCCCGCTCCATAGAACTCTGCACTTTTTCTAGTGGCAAACCAGTATGTCTAACATACAGAGTGTTTATCTGTGCCTTGAGCTTCAAAATCTCCTCTGCTTGAATCTGTATGTCTGTGGCCTGACCTCTCACACCTCCAGAAGGCTGGTGGATCATGATACGGGAGTTTGGAAGCGCATGTCTCATGCCTGGAGCTCCAGCTGCTAGGAGTAGTGATGCCATACTGCAAGCTTGCCCAACACACCATGTAGCTACTGGAGGAGTTATGTATTGCATTGTGTCGTAAATACCCAGCCCAGCAGTCACATTGCCACCAGGAGAGTTGATATACAAATGTACGGGTTTTTTACTCGATTCTGACTGAAGGAATAGCAATTGCGCCACGATCAGTGAGCTTATGTCGTCGTTAATAGGTCCCATAAGACAAATAATACGCTCCCGAAGAAGTCGCGAGTAAATGTCGTAAGCTCGTTCACCTCTACCAGTTTGCTCTACAACTATAGGTATCATTCCTAATTTCAGAGGCTTACTCGTACTTATCGTTCTCTGGACTTTTTTCGATATACTCCCAATAGAGTATGAAGTCCTTGCTATTTGTCGAATGTAATTCAGTGCCATTTTTGGCAAAATTTCGATTTGCAAGTCGAACGAATATTTCAAATGTCGTAAACTTATTTCTTCGTTCGATTATTTCTTCAAATATCGAACAGATGGTATTCGATGATTGTAATAACTACGAAACAACTGTACAGTAGCCGAAGAAATGTATTTAAACTAATTTTCAATACGCTTTCACAACCTACAAAAATATACTTTGATGACATTGACAAATAAACAATGACAAGAATTCAAATGACAGTTCCTCAAGTCACTGACACAGTGGAATCTTCTCTGGAACCATGGCTTTTAGTTAAAAACATTTTTTTTTGGAAAAGAACCTTGCCGCACCCTAAGATTTTCTCCTGTGAAGTGGGTGGGTTAGCAAACATACAATTTTACATACACATTACACCCACACCCGGAACAACAATTTGTGATTCACACAAAATGTTGTTCCGTGAGGGAATCGAACCCGCAACCGGCGACACGTCGCACGGCAGCCAGTTGCCCAACCATGTAGTAACACTAGAAGCAATCAGATTATGACTACATAATTTTACATTACATGCAGTGCAAATAAAACTCATTAATACAGCGTTGCATATTCTCGTCACGAAGTTTACTTCAACACCACGGGATGTTAATTCCTCAATTATTTTGACTAATGAGTATTGTGTATGGTACAATTATAAGGGAGAGTAGATCTTATGGTTTAAGAAATGACATCGGTTAATCACATTTATTCAGTGGTATTTATCACGGGGCATATATAAAGATCACTAAACAGTACAATACTTGTCTTATTTAAAAATATTTAAATCAAACAAAACATAATTTTTCGATTCAATATAAAAAAAGAAACTTCAAACAATCTTATCACTTGCTCTGAATTTGTCTGCGTCTTAATTTCATTAAAGCTTCTTGTCTTTTCCTTTCAATTATTGTCTTTAGGTCTACTGAATTACTGATAGGTTTCTGTTGAACATTTGGCATTGGTTTGTTTTGTAATATTGCACTACTAGCAATTTTAGGTTGAAACTGCACCTTTTTGGGTACACCTGTTTTTGGTAAATTGGTAACACTTTCTTCATTTATTTTTGGCAAAGGTTGCTGGGTTAGTTGTGAATTAAAAATGGACTGGGAAGCCTTTTGTGATGATGTAAATGGCAAGAGTCTCTTTGCTAATAATTTTTCTCTGGCAAGCTGGTGCTTCTTTTTAATTTCTTCCGGAGTGCATCTAATTGGTGAGTCTCCTTGGTCTGAAAAATAAAAAAGATTAAATGTTTTCATATATTTTACAAATTGTAATTAATTCAGCCAATAACTTCTATATATTTATAAAGTAAAAAGACCACAACATGAATTTGTACAAACCTGTAGAGCTCTCTTTCTCTTTGCCAAAAGGCATTGAATTATATCTCCCAAAAACCATTCCACTAGTTGATGGCTTAGACATTTCCATAACAGTTGGTGACACAGGCATAGAACTATGACGGCTGAATATAGATTTTGAAGAAGGACTGGCATCATGAACAATAAGTTCTTTTATCATCCAAGAATCTTTAGAACTATTTGGTTTGCTTTTATTATGTGATGTGTCTAATTTTGTAGGCATCTGTGTTAATCTTTCTAAGGCACTATCATTTAAGTTACCAACCAAACTATCAAAGGAGTCATTATTCAGTTGAGGTGATGAGCATTTCTGTACTTTCTTTACCACTGGTGATTCCAATTTTATACTATTTAGTATGGCATCCATTGAATCATTGTCCATTTTAAAATTTAGATCTGTTATTACATTCTTTTTTATTTTAGATTCATAACAAGGCCTTTTTAAAGGTGGTGCTTCATTCAAGATATTTTCTTCTACAACCTGGCTGGCTTTTATCAGGCATTCATTCATTGAATCATCGGATTCCAATGCTGCTTCTGGATCAGGTTTTACAAAATTAGAACTCAGGACATTCCTTCTTAAGCAACGAGAGTTGCTTCTCACTCTACTTTTAGGAGAGAATTCAGGTGATTCGCTCATACAGTCATCCTCACTGGCTGAATTCACTTTTTCTGTACATTTATTTTGAGTCTTCTTAGACATAAGTTCTACTAAATTTTGATTAAGTTCCATCAGTTCCTGAAATAACTCAGTCTTTTTATGTAAACTTTGTTTAAGAGCTCTTCGTTTTGGAGGTTGTCTTTCAATAATTTTAGGTTTGATTGACCTTTTTGATCTCCGACTAACTGGCGTTGAGTTTTTGATTCGTGATTTTGCTGCATTCTCTGATTTAGGGGTGTAAAAGTTCCATACCACGTCTGTTTCGCCTTCTGCTCCATCTTGAGTGCATAAAAATGGTACCGGACTTGCCGCTTCCGAGTCGCATATGGAATCACTATCTCTTGATGGGGAATCAGCTCGATCAGGTGTTGAACACGATAATACTGAAATACATAAATAACAACTGATATAGATATCAAAATACAGTAATATACTCTTATTTTATCAAATAAAGTTTATCAACCACTTTGCTTATCATACAATCTGAGGCAACTTTTAATATAAAGTCGCTATAAGCAAAATTACCTTTATTTTTATTCTTTGTAGCGACCATTTCATTTGATTTTCTTTTATCCTTGTTCATGTGGATGACAGATTATGTCCGCTATTTAATAGTACATATGGTGTGCAATATTTTGTTAATTTGAATCCAAATTTAATCAAACCACAACAAAAAATAATCACAAACACAACGTCACAGTTCGGAGGTTACTTTTCGCGACCATCTGTCAATCACAACAACTGTCAAAAAGAAATAGTGATGGGCACTTCCCTAAAATTAGGGCTGTATGATCTCAGCTCAGATATGTATGAGTGCACATTTTAAATTTTTATATAAAATGTGCCTTCAAATATTTGCGGTGGGTTTCTAAGGGCTGACTGATTTCAAATATAAATTAAAATAATGATTTCACTTGGGAAGTTTCAAAAAAATCTTTGCAATAATAAGGCAACGTGTAACTTGATTGTATTAGAACGTTTCGTTTACCTAAATTTGTAGTTCGTAAGAAATATATAATTATACTTCATAAGAATTAATATATTGAACTTCGTTAGCTAAAAACTATGAATATTTGGTAATAAAAAATAACTACGCGCTTTTATTTTATACCCAAACTGGCAACTCACTTTTGACGTTTTGATGTTACAAGTTTATTACAAGTAACAAGGAAACACAGGGCAACACTGCATCAGTTGATTGAAGTCTGGCGGGTTTGTTGGACGTGCGTCAATAATTTATTCTAACTTTGTGGCCGCGACTCGCGATGCTCCTTCGGAAGTGACATTACTTTATTGTGAAGTGAAAAAGAACTTGTGAAACATGTTGGCGGATGGTGAAGTTGTTGGCGATGGGTCGTGGAACCTCACGATCTACGTGACGGACTTGGACGAGAAGAGGACTATGGTCGTGAAGGGAGACATGCATATTGGAGGGGTTATGCTAAAACTGACAGAAAGCTTCGGTTAGTATACAAGATAGTTAGATAAACAATTGACTGTGTACAAAGTATGTTTCAAAGTTTATTAACATACCGACATTTAAAAATGGAATTGCGAAACTATAACGTTGTCTTTTATTTAGATGTTGACTCATCTGTATTTTAAGGCGGCCTTGCCTGAGTTTCGGCGGCGCTTCGTTCGATTTATGCGTTTGTTTATCTTTTTTATTATAACCTAAAACCATTTTAGTTTCCAAAAAATATATTTTAATCCATTTTAGTAAGGGATTAGTATAGTATGTTGAAATAAAACAATCATGTTTCTTTGAAGCTTTTCTCAAAGGTAGAGTACAGCTATAATTAAGTGTTCATCAAGATAAAACTTGTTGATAAATGCTGAATGGCCTAAATACTTATAGTTCATCATCATCATCTATTTACTTATTTAGTATCAGTGTGTGTGTATGTGTTAGGATTGAATAACACACTAACAAGACAGTTCATTCTTATACAGCATGTTTTTTAATCTTCATTTTATAAGTGCAGGATATTTTATTAAACAGTCTGTTCGAACAGTACTTTAATGTTAGCATTGTAATTACTCATAATTACATAAACTTAATGAAAATATTATAACTGTATGCAACTTTTACTCTCGGAATAGAAATGGTATCTTCAAGATATTCTTATTTTCACTCGTATTTCAATAGCTTTAAATATAAAAACAGAGGAGATAATCCACTTCAAGTAAAGGAATACGAAATAAAATTAAATCATCCAAAAAATTATTCTATAATGTAGAAATTCAATGGTACAGACCAACCAATTTATATTAGACAGTTACAATGTTAAAAGCCCATTCCATAATATCTGTATAGCCACGCTGTATATCACATTAATTTGAATAAGGAATGTAATTGGTATGAACACAATGTCTTATATAATGTTAGTCAGGCACTTATATGTGGACAGTGTAATTGGCACTTGATAATATTGATATTAATACTTCTTGTAAATTAAAAGAAAAACATCTATCATTCAAATGTAGACCTTCATAATTCATTTAAAAAAATTATGTAAAGTCCGAATTACACCAAAAACAACATTCAAACTTTAAATGCATGGTCTTCTTGAAAAAAGTTTATCTATTCTGTTGAGAACAATATCATCAGTTTTTAAGTAAATAAAAAGCCTGGCATCCAAGTCTAAATTATACATACATGGTGAATTGACATTAGAGAAGAAAAAAAAAGTAGAATAATATTCAAATACAATCATATTTATATACAAAATGGCTTGTGCCAAACTATGGCACCTATGTCATGTTGAGGATAAAATAACATTTTACAATTACCTACTTGAAATATATTTAATTAATATTTCATTACAGTAAGTATTGAGTGCTGTATGTATTGTAAATATAGTAAGTACACTGTATGTTATGCGTCATGAATTTTATTTACTTTTATTAGCTTCCCATACTTTCAGAGCAATACTCACTTAAGAAATTAGCATCTAATTAATATTCATAATATTCATCATACTTCAGAAGCCAGTTTCCTTTGCTGACTGGTCCAGATAATAATAAAAGCAATACCTGTCTGATTAAAAGAGCAGAATGAGCGAGACAGCGATATACGTGTGAATGCGATGGCACATGCGCGTACGCAAGCACGCGTCCTTCGCGGCCGATTATGTCGTATGGACCGGGTTTTTGCCTACACGGCTGCAGGTGAACTACCGAGCAGTTATGTGTATTTTCAAAATGATTTTGTGATAGCATCCTGTAAAAATAATAAAACCTTGTAGCTTAGTAATAAAATCCACCAGTAAAACAAAATACATAAAAAGTTTAAGAGGAAAATATGGTAGACGAAGGGGTATTTATAAAGAGATAACAGTGAAAGAAAGATACCTTTTTTGTGATAGATCAAAAATTATCATATGTTTAGTTCTCATGGCTAATTCACTTAGACCTCCACTAACTCTAGCGCTGTTCAAAATAAGCAAACACAATAACTAGTCGCGTAAACAATTTAAAATTCTCACCTACGCCAAATAGCTAACTGATAACTTTCAAAATGGCGGCTATGCGCCCACTTGACTCCAAAACTCGAATTATTATTCAAGCCTATCTTGCTCCTGCTATTGCGTCGTTATAATACAACTATGTCGTTGAGATATTTAGTTTAATTGTTTACGTAAAGATAGACTTTTGTTCAAAAGCGATTACTATTAAGGAATGCCACTATCTTATTTAAATTACTTAATAATCAATGCACTGTTATGTTTCAAACAAAATCAACTATTATAATGGCAGTAACGCAAATTTTTGAATTGATCAAAAAATACTTAAGGCATTTAAAATTGGAATAATTAAAGTTTTATGTAAGCAGTGTACACAACAAAGAACTACTTACTTAGTCTAAAAATAATCAGTTCTTTACCGTTGAACCAATACGAAGTCATGCTACAATACCCGACTACCTAAATAAGAATCTACAAATAAACAATTAAAATATTAAAACCTTCAAAGTACGACCTCTTAAAGATCAAAAATTAAAATCCTTTTGAAAATGATTTTAGAAACACAAACTTGAAACTTCCCCCTACAAGGAATTAAAAGATCAAATGAGAGATTTGTATGTATACATGTATCAATAAGACAAAAGTCAGGATCAATAGATCCGTTACAGAACTCGTAGATAAAGAAAATAATTAATGTAGGCCAAAAGAAAACACGACGGCGCCTCTCACTAATAATAGAGTCTCATTAGTCAGTCGCCAACAGATGAACAGACAGACATGAATGGAGCACAGGCCACGCACAGATATGGGATAATAATAGTCTTTTGTAAAGAAAGTCACCATCCTCCTACAAAATAGGTACTCAACAAATCACAAAACTCATTTTTAAAGTAGATTACGAAAACTTCTTTCAATATTGACGCTAGTATATCAAATCTTACCCAGATAATGTTATCTACAAGCCAAATATTTAAAGACTTAACTCTTTTCTCTTTCAAAACAAGCCTGGTTTTGTGTCAAAACAAGTTCCAGCTACTCATTGAATGTCCAGAAATATCTTGACATAAATTCGCAGGTTGAAATATTATAGTCTGCATAAAACTTCGATACTATAAGTACGATAATAGTTAGAGTGAAGGATAATATACGTAATGCGGTTATCAATGTTTCCCAACATAATCTCATTATCGAAATATTTCATAACGTTTGTTACCTTGGATATAGGTAACGAAGCAATAAGACCAACGGTCTCGTGGTGCGTGAAAAAATCAGCACTCGATGTAATGAATGTCATGCAAATTATTTCACTATAGATAACACCGGTACCTTTACGTAGACTGCATAATCTGGCTTGTCTATACATACTCCAAGTGATAAGATTGTAAATATCGTTTACATAACTTTGAATGTACCTATCGCAATCAAATTCAAAGTTCATAGTATAATTACAAATTGGTTCTGTTGCGAAATAGTATTAGGTCATCGGACTATAACGTAGTTTTCTTCACTTTCGAGACGGATGCGCGTACGCACGTTCCGAGAAGCCGCCATGTTGAGTCGTCGTATTTCCGGCGCCTCCGTCCCCCTCCTATGACTGGCGTAGATAACGCGTTATCATCCGCTCATTGTTCCTCCATGCTGATGAGGTACTTGACCAATCGCACAGTAGCGCAGGGCGTTGACTTACTTGATATTTTTAGCGTGCCAAGTAAATATTTTGAAGGGCTGCACGATATATAGCAACAACATCGAATCAATTTCTTGAGGCGAAAGCTAAAAAAGGAAGGCAAAGTACCCTTACGTGGCAACGTTCTTGGATTAAGAACGTCAATCGACTACACGTTTTTCCTAATAAAACTCTTCCTAGCTTTAAACAAGCACTGCCTAATACAGGAAAGCTCAGCTGTAAAATACGTTTACTAAATAGGAAAACCTAAAGCCATTGTGTTAGAACGAATCAAGAAACTAATTGCATTGTATTAATTCTTATCTATGGAGTACTGTTTGTAATGAACATCCTGGGTAAATTCCACAGAGTATTCATTACCGGAGCTTTGTGTATATTATGTTTATCGGGATGTGTCAGTGCGGGGACGCGGGAACGTGAGCTATCTACCGTGACTCCGACGTGATAAATAAGAACCACTGTTACAATGAGGGCTTTGTAGCAAACTATACTGTCTAACATCGAAAGACAAGTTAAAAATTATAAAAAAAAACCTACGTGAGATTCTATGAATGACTCTATCAAATACCAACGGTTGAATTCCCGCTTTTATTTCTGTCAGGGACTATTGTCGAAACATTCGTTCCATAGACAAATAAATAACGCTTTGCATTGTGTGCCACTGGCCAGTTGCATCATATCAAACATTTAAAAATACAACAGTGGCATGACGTAACGTAAGCATTCGCATGATAACAGCCTCGCCCACACTATCGATACTTTTAACAGAGGATTATAAAGACAGCCGTCAGCCCATAGGACGCTGGTGGTTCCTGGGAGTGCCAACTATGGCAGAGACAAGCGGACGCTAACGGTTGCGCGCATTCTTGAATCCTACAGTCCGATGGCTAATTGCCGTGATCAGACGACACTATGCGTAATGAATAATATGCATTGGGACCTTTTAAATATCCACATGTTCTTTGCAAAAATATTCGGAAACAAAAAGTAGGTCTTACTCTAAATAAAATTCTAAGTATAAATGATAACCACGCGTATAATAATATGTCTTGTTAGATTTACCATGTATTGCTACACAGCACAGCTAGTTAGCTTATTTGCAATTTAAAATAACTTGCATAAATTATATTCTATAAGCGTAACTAAATAGGAGTAATAAATTCATGTTAGCGGCTGTATGCAGCAGTTGTTTTACAAATAATTATTTCATTCATTTCTCAGTAACTGGCATCGTAGGACGATGAATTTCGGACGTGCCATTGGTCAGTTATTAATGAACAGTCATCGACTTGCCGTCACGTAATTTGTGTCGCAACACACCATTAGTAATAAACACCGTCTACTACTATAACAGTCATACTTTGCTAAGAATTCAATTCTTGAACGAAAGACGGTATTTCAATCTGAAATTGCTATTGAGATCACTCGATCTCATGTCTAAAATAAAAACTAGATCAACAAGACTTCTCCTAACGAAATAAAAATCTGTTAAAATCTGCTTGAATAAGAATATTTATGACATGTTCTAGTCACAATGAAAATTCTGTTTTCTTTATATTCACGGAGAATTTTCATTATACGCAATCGCAAAACGGAACGTGGAACGTATTGTTCATAATTGTTATGCAAAACTGACACGCGCCCGGTACTTTACTCGTCAACTCAATATGACACATAATGTAAACCATTCAGAACGCCTACTGAATTGTAATTCAAAACGACCTGCAGACAAAGAAAGAAAGAAGAAAGCTTTCCTTTAAGAACTTTTTACCAAAAGATGAGATGTGTAAATGGCACACGCCATGATTAAAGTTAAAGTATTAAGGTTGCGCAAAGCTTATGGAATATGACATATAAGACAGACCGCAACATAGCACAACGTGATTCAAGATAGCGGATGACTCCGCAGCGGTCATGCATGATTCCGACCGGTTTTTCTGCAGCGTTGCCTTCTGACGTCACCCAGAGAAACCGAGAACAACCGATACTTATAAGGCAAAAAGCCAAATGAAAGAGTCGTTTAATTTGTTAATGTTTTCTCGGAAATGCATAAATTATTGTTAATTAAAGCGTTCATTAAAGAATGTCTTTGACATGAAGATATGAATGGCGATAAAAATTGTTTAATGGACGATTCTGAATTGGTTTATGCTGATGTTTTCGAAATAATGCAGAAGGCATACATCTGAATGTTAGAAACGACCAACAATCAACCAGAAAAAGAAACAAATTAAAAAATATTTCACTAAACATTTATATTTCTTATTCCCACACGTTCAACGATAAACAATCGATTTCGTTAACAGATTTCAATTTGTGGTAACTTTATTGTTCCTTTCATTTTACAACGGGCCGATTCCTCTTGTACTTTTTATATTTGAAGCTTGTTGGCAATAAATCGTGAATCGAGGCGTAAAAATTATACTGCAATACTCGTTTCGTTTCTCTATTTATAAGCGTCTGACTTCATACGAGATGGGGTTCGTTTAAGAAATATAATACGCACTGTTCATTGCGTCTACGCAGAGTTTTACTATTGAGATCTTGCCAAATGGTCATAAATAATGGTCTCAGGTAATGATCGTATTGAAAGAGATCCATTATTCGTCATTTTAGTGTTTGTGTCGAATTATGTTACTTGTTTCTGATTAGTTATGCAATTTTCTTCATTTTGTACTTAGTTGTTACTCGTCCCAAAACTACCTACCAAATTTAATTTACCTTTGAGCAAGATGGAACCCATATTTTATCATTTAATTCCTATGTTATGAAACTTCACATAAACATTCTCTTATCGCATTTGTAGCATCCATCTTAAGACTTATTCAGGTCAACCTGTCTGAAAGCAGTATTGTTATACGTACGTATCTAGATATAAAGTTGAGCTGATTTTTCGTCAATTAGTCAGTTTAATATTTTTAAAATCGGTAGCCATTTATATATAACCTTAACCTTCATATGTAGTATCTGGAATAATAAAACCTCATTAGTTTTAGCAGATGTTAAACTAAATAATAATTTAACTCCTTTGTCGTGATCCAGTTGGTGTTTTCTCTTTAGGCCAAGGTCTCCTGCCGGGTGTGACACCGCGCCTTTATTTACACATCCATTAAGCGCAAATGCTTAGTCCAGTGCTTTGTTCTCTGATTTTATTTTAAGTTTTGTACCCTTTACAGTTTTGTCTGGCTCGTTCACATCGTCCGAGGATATCGTTACATCTACGGTTTATGGAGATGTGAAATGAACTTCACTAACAGAGTTGTTTAGTCTCGACAGACCATAACCATCCCAAGCCTGTTTGCAACACATTCCAAGCAACATTTAAACATTCGTTTACACGCACTTAGTTCATCGTCTCGTTATTATTACACTTATTACGACAAAATTGTTAATTTTATTTGTACTAAGTTATGTTTAGAGCCTCATTTCATTTGACTTTCCTTGTTTTCTGCGGTACGTGACGTCATCGACACATGCGGTCTCTTAATAACAATTAACGTTACCCATTATAATAAAACGTGGCATCATGTCGTGTTTAACATTAGCAGTTCTGTGCCAAGGTTACAATAATTCTGCATAACTGTCACGACTGTTACATGTCACATGGTCATAATATTATGATTAAATCTCCGAAACTGCTTTGCTTTATTTGATAAAAAGCACTTCGATTTTGTATGAGAGGATAAAATACTATCGTTCTGTACGCACAGTATTAAGAAATATGTATTTTAGAGGACAAAAGAATGGATGACCTTCTCGTTAATAACTATATATGGCTGAGACAATCTTATTGCACTACATCAAATCGATATTTTTATAAGGGACGTGCGCTTGGCCTTTACCAAACTTAAGCTGACATTTCCTTTGGTAAAAAGAGACCATTCATTTGCAGAAATGACTGATGGTCTCTTTGTCTGAGTTAATTTCCTTAGCTGTATTTGCTTTAGCATTTTGTTTTTCTTTCAAATCCGTGTAGTTTTTGTGTCTTTATAAAAAGCAGCAGTTATAAATAATATTTCAACGTTTAGCTTTCAGTATTTTGTTGTATATTTAGTTCTTTCAAACGTCTATACTTACTGGATTATGATTGAAATTTCTCTGACGATTTATCATTTATTTGACGTATTACTATGTTGGGTATTTCACTATACTACTTCTATAGCGTTCCAGATTACTTTAAATGGAATTCGTCATAGGATTTACCCTATTTGTCCTCAGTCTACGTTAAAAACAATGAAAGGAAAACCGCAAATATTTAGACGATACATATACATTTGCTTCTACGTATAATTTATCGGATTTAGAGAAACAATAAATGGAATAAGTCATTAAAGTTTAATAATTTAGTAAAATAGGTTTATCAACTTTAGAAACAAGGATCAGTAACCGTTTGACAAAAAATCTCAAACTGTTTATTTTTAAAATGGCATCGATCACTATTTAACGGCCACATAGTTTACCGAAATAGTCAAGTGCGTAGGATTTGATAACCAATCCTTAGTATCTAACTCTGTTATTGCCAATTCCATGTTTGGATGTTGCAATAAAAACGAAGTTAAAAGTTGGACTAGCAATTTTCTGAATATGGCAATTGAGTGTATTGAAGATCCTACAAATGCTTGTGCTTAGGTACATGCTTAAAGATTGACATGGCAAGAAAATAAATGTTTTCCAGGCTTGCAACACTACCAAATACGTACACATACAAGTGTACTTATGCGTATTATAAACAAAAATTGATGGAATGAAAATGTCAATGTTTTGTATGAGGAAAAGTCTAAAGAAGTCTGCACAACACAAAAGAAACACAACTATTTCTATTGGACAGTGCTAAAAACATTCTTAGACTACTCAAAGGCCGTTAACATTACTGAACATTTCAGCACGTCGCGGTCGCCAGAAGTTGTAGCAGAACGAATTATAGTCTCAAAATGTAACTGGAACATTGTGCAATACTTCCACGTTTCCAGATGTTACTCATTGGTTTTAGGTGGCAGTAAACGAAATATTTACGGACGCTAATGGTCACCTATCAAGTTACGGTCAGTTTGGTGAAATTCTCTTTCAGATTTGGTTGATACGTCGTTTCAATTTTGCTGTACAAGAAATGCGGTTTTAAAAGACTAAAATTTTCGTCATTTGTACTGTCTGTTTGTAGCTATCTGTTCCACAGTTGTAACATATACCGTCATTTTCCTTTACCAAATATCCGTTTTCACGTTAAACTGATGTTTTTACCACAATTGCCAGTATGTTATGGTTAAAATTCGTAACAAACAGCGAATTTGAACTTCGATTAAACATTAATGTTATTTCTGTCGATTTCTTGTTTTCCTTTCCATATCCTGTCGATTGTTTATCCTGTAACCACGATGTAGGCACATATTTAATGCAAACATCCATCTTGGATGTTATTGTTTGCAAGTATAATTAAATCTGCACCTAAGTAGTTTGTATTATTATCGTATGTCTATTTTAAATTTACTAGACTAGAAATAGCATTTATTTCATAGCTAAGTAGCGCTTAAATTTAACTTCTTCCATTACATATAATTCCCAACTTCAATGAAAATGGCTTCTTTTACAAACCATTTCTCTTTTGACGATAATATTTGCTATGTACCCTTTCTGCCGCAGACAGATTTAAAAGGGCATCGGCATTTAAAAAGGGCGTCTTCAAAGGCGCCGCCCGCCCTGACCAGACACCATATCTTACATTCCTAATCATTCGTAGCAATAAATCTATCTTGAGTTGCTATGCGAATGATATATTCAAATGTATGACCAGGATGCCTTTAACCATTACCATTACTCATTGATCAGATCTTTTCCAATAGTTATGCGAAATTTACAGTTCTTCTTAGTATTCCGATGAGAATGGTTAAATCATAAATCGACAGCTAAAACCATTGGTATGAAGACTTATACGTCTTGTTCTAAACGTTATTGAGTAGATAATAAAGGCTTAGAACACACATTAATAGCTTAACGAAATCCTCAGTAGTCTCTCTTATGCCACAATGACGGCAATATTTTTATCAAAGCAGACCCGAATAACGAAAATAAACCTTATTTGTTACCTTTAGCCTTGAAATAATGGTGTCTATTATGCGCTTAAATCCTTACAGTACTCCTATTTGTTTTTTAATCCGCGATTATGACCTTCGATCCCCTACAAGAGGTCATTGACTGCTACATCGGGGTACCATAGGTACTGAACACAGGTCTACACAGGTTTTTACTGACAATTTGTACTTAAACAGATTTATCTAAAAACTGTCTAAACTCACGTTAGTACAGTTTTTATCACTTCTATTAACATTTTGGGTTGTAGAAGTATTCAAGTTAAGCAGTTTATCAAACCAAAAACGATCTCAGACTTGTACCATCAAATTGTGAAAATAGAAAACAGTGCTTTGTGACCAAACGGACCATGTTCCTAATCATCATCATCATCATCATCATCAGCCTGTGGTCGTCCACTGCTGGACATAGGCCTCCCCAATTGCACGCCACTGAGCTCGATGTTCAGCTCTTCTCATCCAACCACTGCCAGCCACCCTGCGGATGTCGTCAGTCCACCTAGCTGGGGGGCGCCCTACACTACGTTTGCCTAGACGTGGTCTCCACTCTAGAACACGTTTACTCCAGCCTACCCCATGTTCCTAATACCAGACAATAACTCTTTAGCCAATGCATATTATGGAGCCAGCAGTGACGGACGTGATATATTATGGGCGACATCCGTATATCCGTTACATCATATCGCTTACTCTTACATTTGCAGATAAGATTTGCGATTTATGTTTCCTTAGCTCTACAAACATAATCTACCAAAGTCAAGTATTATCGGGATTGGTTGATTAATTAATGTAAGTGGAATATTTAATTTATTTATGGAACATGACTTCGTAAAGGGCTATTCGTTCATGACAAGGCTTTAGCTAAATATTTTAATGGAAAAAAAGTACAAGTCATTCCAGTGACTTTGAGCTTCATTGTTGAAATTGAATCGAGATTAACCCTACTATGAGACCACCCGCATATGTCGAAAAACTGATTGTTACATTGATCTCTCTTATTAGCTTTAAAATGCCCATCTTCTCACAATTTACCTTCATAATTACCCTCGAGCTGTTTTTCGTTCCAGTCAAATATTGGACGAGCTTGAAGCAAATGATGCATACCGTTTGCTCTTTATGGGTGGTCTTGTCATTTCCCATTCACATTCTAATACAAAGCTAGTTTTATATTGCCTCAAGTAACTAGCCATCTTATTTCTTAACACTCGCAGATTCCTCGAAAAGGAAAGTTGTCGGACCACTTGTGGCAGACATGCTAAAATTTCGTCTCTAAGAAACGAGTCTGACATGCCACTGTCTTTACCAAATTCAATAGAAATGCAGTATTTACGTTACATACAATTTTAAATCTTAATGCATTGAAATAAAGAGGCTGTTACGAGTTTTGCTCCTTCATTAGCATTTGAGTTTCAAGGGAGTGCATTCCCACGCGAAATGTGTTCATTGGTGGCGAGTTGTGTGAGATAAATATTTGTAGAGTACACTTAGCACTCAAAACCCTGACCTTGGCAAAGACGACATACGTAAACTTTACACAAATAATAAATTACCGTTTTTTTTTATAAACGCAAGTGTTTATAAACACGAATTTAACTCAAGTATTTTGTGTTCTCTGAGATCATCGAAAGTTTTATAGTTTTCGAGAATAAAACACAGTTGGGTTTAGCTGAAGTGTAGCTGTGTCATCGTTTTTTCCAACAAGATTTTTTCCGAGTATGATTCATCTTGTACCTTCAATGTTTGAATAGGCCCTAGCCCTTTTCCGATGTGATTCAATATGTTAAGAATTTAATTAATTTCAACGTAGAGTCCCAGACGACGGCGTCAGGCACATGGCGGGCGCCTGGGTGCTGTGTCCTGACCAAAATAGATGGCGGCTATTTATACGTGCCGCGTATCCGCCTGGCGCACGCGCAGCGCCGTATCCGCACGTTAGACACACAGCGTGAATATTACACCATAGACAGTACACTATCCACAACCTCCGTCAATAACGTATCTTTCAAATATAGGTAAACGACGACTATAAATCAAGAAGCTTTCAACGGAACCGGTAATCGATCATCAATCATGAAGCAAAATGGCGATAAAAAGGGGTGGGACGTTGTGGTTATGAAAGGACGCCGATTCACGGCTTAATGCATCTAGATGTGGAAAATAA